AACAAAAAAGAAAAAAGAAAAAAGAAAAATGAAACAAAACGAAAAAGAAAAAAAATTCGAGATCATTTTAAGAAGCTTTTGCTAAGGTATTTAAAAAAAAAAAATTCTACTTCAAAGCTTTAGATTCTCGGTCGTTAAAATCATTTCCATCATAAATTATCATAAAAGAAAAAAACATACTTCTATACCAAAAGATATGTATTAATATATATATAATTAGATCATTCACATTGATCGTTTGCTTCTAGAAATGTTCGAACTAAAAAGATCTTAAAAATCGATTACTCCTTTTCGAGGGTTTTTCTAACTGATTTTCAGATTGTAAAAGTACTAAATAGGAATGTTTTACGTTTTCTTTTTTCTTTTTTTTTTTTTTTACAACGTTAACAAAAAAATTACGAGACTCGAAAAAATGGTAATAAATTTAAACAAAAAAGAGAAATCATCTCAACTCACAATTCAGTATTAAATTACTTTTTGTTCGTTTCTTTTCGAGGTAATACTTCATGTAATTTAAATTGCCACGAAATTAATCGGATTAAGATCGAAACCAATAGTCGAAATAACTTCATTGTTGCGTTAAACTGTAAGACAAGTTACTGTTTGACCTCTTTAAATATCCCTTTCTAAATGACGAACGAGTTCAATTCGCAAAGTTCATATCCACGGTCTGTCTCCCTTTTGTTTTTCAAGACTTTCGAAACGTTAGGGCGTCCTCGTTCTTTGTCATCACATACGTGCTTTCTTTTTCTTTCTCTTTGTCTTTTTCTCCCTTGACCCTTCGCTTTCGTCTTTGGCAAAGGGACAACGCGCGTCACAAGAGAAAAAGATGGTAGTAGGGTCGCGACGTTGCCACACCAAGATCAATTTTTTTCAAGAGGGAAAAAAATACCAAATTATTAAACGATCGAAAAAGTTACGAAAAGTTACGAAGTGAATTTTTTGTAAATAACAATTATAATCTTCTCTCTCTCTGTTTATATTGTTATTAAAAACTTATTAAAGATCAAGAAGCATGAATGTAATTCATTCATTATTACAACAAATTTGACTTTTAATAATATGACGATATAAAGAAATAATAAAATAATATGTACCTTGAAATATAATCTAATAAATAGTTTACTAGATCACCGATGACTTTATATACGTTATATAATATTCACTTTCATTCTTTAATAATATCAGTAATAAAACATTCTCAAGTAATAATCTCACTTAATAATATGATAATATATAGATACATTAGAGAGATATGTATCTTAAATATAACCTCAAAAAAAAAAATGTCCAATAACTGATACGTATTTATAAACGTTTTTAGGTTGGACATATATCACACATTCAAATGTTTTCATTTATCTTCGATAAATTCGATAAATCATTTCGATAAATTCGATAAATCGGTAAGAGATAAAAATTTGAATTTATATCGCGTTTGAAATAATCATGACGAGCACGTATAACTGACGATCACGTTCGATGGTACGATCGTTAGACGTCATAGTTTATAAGTGTTTTCCTTGTTAGAAATTAACAGCCTTTCGTTAACTACTCTCACGATCTCTCTCTCTCTCTCTTTCTTTTTCTCTTTCTCTGGTATCTTGACGATTATATATTATCCCACCCTTTGTTCGTTTCGACACAAAACAGTATATAAAAGAATTTTTACTTGGCTTCGTTGTTACTTTCATAACAGCCATTTTGGTTTAATCACGGATTACATAATTACTACGTGAATCAAGTGAAAAAAATTACGACGAACATGGAAACACGATTATTACCTTTTTACGATTGATCAAAGTTAATTGAAAAGAAAAAGAAAGAATCCATGTAATAATAATAATAATAATAATAATAATAATAATAATAATAATAATAATAATAATAATAATAATAATAATAATAATAATAAATAAAAATAACATTATTGTATTATGCCATTTTGAAAAGAGAACTGTTTTAGCTTACTTACTTACGTAGCTTACATTAGGAAGTTAAGAAGGAAGGAAGGGCGGGAGGGAGGGAGACGGGAAATAAGCAAACCGAGCGAAAGAAAACTATTTCGTAAAGAAAACGAGAAGGATAATTTTAATAGGGACGATCGAATAAAGGAGAAGTGAAAAGAGGAGCGATCGAATAAGAAACGTGATTTTCGATTGGTCGCATATGTATAGCATATGTATAGCATGTGCATCGTCAAATGGATCGTAAAGGCATATATGTATGTACGTACGTATGTATGTATATAAAGAGGGATACGAATGAGAGAATGGTGTTATTAGTGTAACAGTTAATGGTGCCGAGAGCCAATGATATTAGTCTAGCGTTAAAAACGATATGTGATAACTGGTGGGAGACACATCGGTATCATCTATTAATTTATTATTTTATTATGCATTTATTGCTATTAACGACATAACAGAGATAGGACTTCAATAGAGACACACACGCGCGCACACACACATACGAATACACAAATAAATAAACAAATACATACGTACGGACATACATACATAGACACGCAGATCATCATAAGAAACGCTGAACGTTCATATATGCGAATATATATATATATATATATATATATATATATATATATATACATACATACGTATGTACACACGTATATAAGTGCACTCGTTATTCGAATCGTTCTTAACTCTGCGTTATCTTATCACATTGATCCTTACATGTCGATACCACCCTACAATAGAAAAATATTCTTAAGGTTCTTTTACAAATTTAAATACATTTGTATATATATATATATATATATATATATATATATATATATAACACGCATATCATTTATGTATTATATCACTTTTACTACTACTACTACTACTACTACTACTACTACTACTACTACTACTACTATTATTATTATTACTATTACTATTACTATTATTATTACTATTACTACTATTCTATTACTGCTACGTCAGCTGATCTTTTTTTTTTCAAAAAAAAGAAAAAAAAAAAACCTCTCTTGAACGTTTTCGTTTTTCTTTCCTTCTTGCTTGTATCTTATTTCTATTTTTTTTTTTACACGCCGGATTTTCTTTAAAACGAATATAATGTAATACGTGACAAAAACGTTACACACACATAAAAATAGAGAGAGAAAGAGAGAGAGAGAGAGAGAGAAAGAGAGAAATAAATATAATACTGCGAGATACGAATTTAATCGATCATCGGATTTTCTGAGTATTATCGAATCATTTCGATCGTAAGAAATATATCATGAATTCGTTTGGCCAATGGCGCGTATATAGAGATCTATTAAAGAGTACATGTTCGGAAACTTGGCCGGCTACGTATATTTCACTTCCATCTCTCGTAGGATGTGCTAGCCAACGAAGAAGAACTCCTCTGTCAAAACAAATACATATAAAGAGAACGAGAGAGAGAGAGAGAGAGAGAGAGACAGAGGGGAAAGAGTGAGGGGAGGCAGAGGGAGTGTGTGTGTATGTGTCTGTGTGTCTGTGAGAGAGAGAGAGAGAGAGAATGCTTCGACGTTGATACGTAGGCGTTAGGCGAGTTTTATCATAGGGTTCTTTGCCGTTTCGTAAGAAACGAGCGATGCAAACGAACAGCGTAGAAAATGATGATTATAATAGCGTTTTTCTCTCTATCCGATGATATCTAATCATCGTGTCGTTATTTACATTACGCACACATGCATACGCGCGCGCGAAAGTATCAGGCAATGAGAAAAAACAAATAAAACAAAACGAAACTAAAAAAAAAAAGTATATATATATGTTATATACACACACACACATATATACATATATATATATACATATAAAAAAAGGAGGAAAGATAGAACACGAATCCTTAAGTAGAAAAGAGATTGTTCACTTTCGAAACTCTTTCGAAACTCTTTCGAAATTTGAATGTATCGAGAACCGTCACATTAAAAGGTTAAAACGATTGATTATCATTCTTGTTTCTTTTTTTATTTTTTTATTTTTTTTTTTTTTTTTATTTTTTTATTTTCTCTCTCTTTCTCTCTCTCCCTCTCTTACTCTCTCTGTCTCCTTGTCTACATACCCGTTTAATAGAGTCGAGTAGCGCGAGGCAGGTATATATAAAGGTTAAACCAAAGTGTTGTAATGCACGTAAAACACGAAACAAAAACACGTAGCACAAAAGAGTAATAATCACGTGTACGACTGCGAGGCGCACGCACATCGGCAGCACTAACGCGGTCTACCCCGTTTACAATACAACTTAGAGATGTATTATAGCTTGCTTCGTGCCCGACGATCATGAATGAAACGTAGAGCGGGTACTGGCCTCCCCTGTCCCCCTCCCCGTTCTCCCCTTCACATTCCTAACGATCCGCACTACGCGTCGTCATTCGGGAGAATTACATTATACCGCTTCGTGATTCGTCGAATTGTCATCCATCTTCCTTGCAGGTTCTTTCCGTTCTTTTCCTCGCTCTGATTGGTCGAATCTGTCGTATACGATAAACTCCGAACAATTGGCACGAAGTACGAATAGAATGGATACTCTACTTTAATTACCTTTTTTTTTTGTTTATTTTATTTTTTTATTTTTTTTTATATACACTTGTTTTACCTTTTCATTTATTCCTTTATTTCTTTTCTTTTTTCTTTTTCTCTTTCTATTTTTATTTCTATTTTTTTGTTTCGTTTCTTTTTTTTTTTTTTGTTTTTTTTTTATAAAAAATTATGACCTTTCGGAGAGGTCATAATTTTACACTTACGAAAGACGAGAGATACTCACGAAAGACTTGATCATTTTTTTTCTTTTGGATAAATTCGTTTCCTTTTTAATCAGTAATAATTATTTTTATTTTTCTTCTTTTTTAATTAATTTTTCTTTTAGATTTAGAAATGCGAGCAGGCTTCATTCATGTTGAAAACTCACTTCCTTCTCTATATATTATTTACTTTCAATGCTTATAAGCTTTTGACCAATCAGAAGAGAAAACTGAAAATACGTTATTTTGAAACCATTTGAAAGATTTGAAACGTCTGCAGAAGCATTTCTAAGCTAAGGAAGGTTGGATCGTGACCAAGAATTTGTGAATATTGTGAGTTGATGCAAACAACTGAATAAGTGTTTAAATTAATAAACGTTGGAAACACTTAAAACGTTGATGTTTAATTATTTGAAATGATGTTTTTCATAAAAAATTTGTTTTGAACTTGTCACATTGCTTTAAAAGTATCTACCTTTTGTACAAGTTTCATTTAATCTGTAGGTATGTCATAAATGATTTATTTATGATAGAATTAGTTAATATATTTATGTTTATTCAATTAATGAAATTACATTTTAAGATGTACACACATATTTATCCTGTTAATATGTCACAGAAATATGTGATATTATTTTAATCTAAATTATTGTTTCAGGATATTCTATTTTGTTTGGATAACTTATTCTTTTATTAAGTACTAGTTTTTAAGGATGCTGAAAGGAAAAGAAAATATTCTTCAAGCTAATACAACTGCTTCTCAATTTGATCCTAAATTACAAGTTAATAATTTCAAAAAATTGAGAATTGCAAGCACAAATTCTGTATTAGCGGATGTCAACAATCAAGGAAGTAAAAAAAACGAGACTAGGATTGTACAAAATAATAAAACTGATTCGTCTAATTGTACAACGAAGAATAATCAAAATAATTTTTCTAAACAATCGCCTAAAATATCGCCTTCTTCGTCTAAATCAACGGAATCAAAGATTCAAGATAATTTTAATAATGCTTCCAATAATGACAAAAAGGATGTTGTGACTATAGAAAATACAGAACAGAACGATGTGAATAACAAAAAGAGCAAAAAGAAATGGGTATTAACGGATTTTGATATTGGACGTCCTCTTGGTAAAGGGAAATTTGGAAATGTCTATCTTGCTAGAGAAAAAAAGTCTAAATTTATTATAGCCATGAAAGTACTTTTCAAAGCGCAAATACAAAAGCAAGGAGTTGAAGATCAAGTTATGTTATATCAAGTGCAAAGGGAAATTGAGATACAAACTCACTTAAGGTAAAAAAAAAAAAAAAAAAAAAATGTTAAAATTACTCCAATTATCTCGCAAATAAATTTGATTTTTATTTGTTTATTTATTTTTTCTTTTTTTTTTTTTTTTTTTTTTTTTCTTATAGACATCCTAATATCCTACGTATGTACGGCTATTTTCATGATGAAAAAAGAGTGTATTTGATATTAGAATATGCTCCAAAAGGTGAATTGTATAAAGAATTGAATGCACAGCCCGACAAACGTTTTGACGAAGTTAGGTAAGTTTCTTCTTTTTCTTTCCTTTTTTTCTTTGAATTTGTCTATTCTTAAACAAAGTAATACGTATATATATATATATATATATATATATATATATATATATATGTTTTAAGCATATTGAACAAAATATAACGAACGTGTATATTTACAGAACGGCTACGTATATGTCGCAATTAGCAGATGCATTAAAATATTGTCATAGTAAAAAAGTAATACATCGTGATATAAAGCCAGAAAATTTATTGCTTGGTCTAAAAGGTGAATTAAAAATGGCTGATTTTGGTTGGTCCGTTCATGCACCTTCGTCGAGACGAGAAACTTTATGCGGTACTCTTGATTATTTACCACCAGAAATGGTAATGGGAAAGACATATAATCACACTGTAGACTTATGGAGCGTTGGTGTACTATGTTACGAATGTTTAGTCGGTTCTCCACCATTCCTTGCACCAACTTACGAAGAAACGTATGTTAGAATTAAAAAGGCACAGTATAAATTTCCTGATTTTGTTAGCGAAGGCGCGAGAGACTTAATTTCAAAGGTAAAGAATATTTAATATTTTAATTATGTCGTGATGTTATTCTTTTTATTTATTTATTTTTTTTTATAATTTTTTTCCTTTCTCTTTTTTTTCTTTTTTTTTTTTTTTTTTTTTTTTTTTTCTTTTTTTTTTCCATTATAGTTACTAATCGTAAATCCAGATAAAAGACTGCCATTAGAAGATGTTTTAACTCATCCTTGGATAATGAAAAATCGCACAACGGAGCCCCATGTGCAGTGATAAATGTTATATTATTTTTATCTTCTAGACTGTCGCTGTATTTAATAATCTAGTAAATGACGGTTGATTTTTCGTGATTTAATAGATGGATCACTATAGGCGATTTTATAACAGAATTTTATAACTTAACAAAAACAGATAGATCACATTATTTAATTTTATTCGATAATGTTTGGACTATATATATATATATAATGAAATATCTTTCAATGATTTAACTTCACAAAAAATTACTAATCGGATTTATATTATTATTATCATTATTATTACTATTATTATTATTATCGGAATTATATTGATACGATGTTACAAAATAAAGATTTCGACGCAGCATCAATTTATTCGCTAGATATGTCATCAAATATTAAAATCATAAAATTTATTTGTGTAGTTATATCAGAATAATAGAAAAAAGAAAAAGAAAGTGAAGAATAGAATTTATAATGATTTTCTACAGAAATAAAAATATCATTTCATATTCAATTTACAGGAGACATTAATTAATAAAAAATAAATTGTATTCATTTGTAAGTATTGTAAATTGTTTCATTATTTCAAGCTAGTAGAAATTCAAAACTAATATAAATTCGTTTTGGCAAATGTTATACAAATAAAATATAATTAATGAATCAATTATTATATTTAATATATATCAATTATTCAAATTAAATATGGCGTATTTTAGTACATTTAAAATATGTCATCTTGTTTATAGATAACATAAAATTTATTTATGTTTACAAAATTGGTAAATACAGATAATGTTCTTCGTTAGATGGGTATCCGAACATTACCATTATATTTTGCCTTATTTCTCAAACGTCTTCATCATTTAATATTAACATCGGAATAAAAAAAGGATGTATATAATTTGTAAACATCGTAACTTAAAAATCCTAACCTATATAATTCCTATAACGTAAAAATATTATCTTACACAATTATTCGTTATTTCTAATGTCCTTAGAAATTCTGATAAAATTTCAATAATGGAAGAGAAGTGCCATATTAAAAGATTTTTAATAAGTTCGCCTCATGTTTCCATTGGTTCCATAACTACATCCACTATTGGTGCTTCTAACGGTGTATCCATAGGCGTTACTTCAGGATCTTTTTTAACTGAATATTGCTTTCTTAATTTTTCATAGTGTTTGATCTCCTGAACATTTTTAATATATTTTTAGAAATAACATTTAATAATGATAATAAAAAAAAGAAAAAAAAAATTATTAACAAAGTTTATAATTAATATTTCCCAAAATGCGTTTCATTATTCTATTATCTATTTATACAGATAAGTTACTTACTTTTTCATGAACCGACGGCCGCACTTTTTCAAACGCATTAGCGATATGTCGCATACAGATTTCTGGATGTGTGTGATACTGTATCATTAATTCTTTTAATGCTTCTATTCCAGCTTCTCTGATCAAAGATGCCAAATCGGCTCCAGTGTAACCATCACATTTTTCGTTATATCCTACTTCACCCAGATTAATATCTGCAGCTAATTTTGGTTTTGTACCGTTCTGTAAGGACATTAAAATTGATTTTAACAAATCGTAATTCACAAATTTTATAAAATTTATGAATCGTAGAGTATGTTTTAACCTTTGTTAGTGCTCTTAAAATATCAACACGATCTGCAGCAGTTGGTAATCCTACGTATAAAATTTTATCCAATCTTCCAGGTCTTAATACGGCAGGATCGATAATATCTGGACGATTGCTAGCAGCCATTAAGAATACTCCTTGTCTACTTTCAACTCCATCCATTTCTGTAAGCATCTGATTTACAACACGTGACGTGGCTGAATTGTCACCTTCTGTCCTCTTAGGGCACAATGCATCCAATTCGTCGAAAAATATAACACAAGGAGCAGAATTTCTTGCTCTCATAAAACATTGACGTACAGCTTTCTCACTTTCACCAACATACTATGAACAAATGAGACGTTAATTAAACTATTACCTATACGTTTATGAAAACAAGAATTAAAAATAGATTACCATATTGAGAAGTTCAGGTCCTTTTACGGAAATGAAGTTAATACCAGCTTCATTTGCGATAGCCTTGGCTAATAATGTTTTACCACAACCCGGAGGACCACACAATAATACACCCGTAGCAGCACTTAAACCCAATGCTGCAAAATGTTCGGCATGTCTTATAGGAGCCTAAAAAAAAAAAAAATGATTGATATATTATCGCAATAACTTGAGATTTTTACTGTGAAAGTGAAATAATATATGCATATATATATATATATTTACAAGAATAGCCATTTGTAATTCTTGTCTAATATCTTGTAATGAACCGATATCATCCCATGTGACATCAGGTACAGTAACAAATCCTTCTCTCTTTGCAGAAGGTTGAACCACCCGAAGTGCCACTTCAAAATCACTATCTTCAATGCAAAGAGTTCCTAATTTTTCCTTCGAAAGAGGAGGTTCGTTTCGTAACCATGTAAGTAAACTCGATAATTCTGGAGACTTTGATGGTTCTTGGGTTACATCCATTTCTAATCCTACATTGGAATTTTCTGATTGAGTCTTACTTATAGACGACACGGTATCTTCTATACACGTTGGAGCCTCGACAGTCGTAACATCATCGACTATATTTCCAGAATTTTCAAACGCTGGAACTTCTTTATCAGTTTGAGGATCAATTTCACTTATTTCTGGAGATTTAGAAATATTAATAGCTGGTACCGTTTCATTCAAGTCTTCAAAGATTCTACATATAAAGAGGTAAATTAATTAGATTGAATATTACAGGATTCTTATCGTAATAATTGATATTATGTGAGATTACGTTTACCTATCCACCGCAGCCATAGCAGCTTCTCTAATTAAAGCAACGAGATCTGCTCCTACAAAACCGGGTGTAAGCGAAGCTATTGTCGATAGACTAATGTTAGGAGCCAGAGCTACTTTTTCTGTATGTACTGCCAATATCTTTGCTCTTGCATCTTTATCCGGTATACCAAGACAAACTTCACGATCGAAACGTCCTGCTCTTCTTAAAGCAGGATCTAACGAATCTGGCCGATTTGTTGCTCCTATAACTAATACTCTATCTCCATTATCTTTTGTGCTTAGTTCTATAAAAAAAAAAAAAAAGAAAGAAAGAAAAAAAAAGAAAGGAAGAAAAAAAAACGAAAAAACAAGATTAATAATATCTTAATAATATCTTTGGATATTGTATTTTTTATACATACAAATCTCCTTAATTTAATAAATGATATAAAAAGTACAACAAACCATCTAAACACGATAACAATTGTGCTACGATTCTTCGTTCCATTTCTCTTTGAGCCGTAGCTCTGTGCGGCGCAACAGCATCGATTTCATCCAGGAAAAGTACGCACGGTGCAATAGCAACTCCTTGATCAAATAATTCTCTAATACGTGCTTCACTTTCACCCGATACTCCAGCCACCAGTTCAGGTGCTGCTACTTTTAATAGAGGCACTGCTAATTCCTAATTTCAGGAATGTATAAAATATAAACAACATGGAGGATAATCTCTCATAAGGAATATAAATTTTTTTTTTTTTCCAGAAAATAAATAAAGATAAGAAAGTATTTTATTATTTTTCAAATGAATTCCTTCGATAAAGAATATTTTTCTTATCTTTCCTGATTTTGTGATAGAACACTGAATATGTATATATATATATATATATATCACCTTAGAAGGATTATCCTGTATAAAATCAAAATATATATATATAAATAAAGTATCTATCTTACTCCAGCAATAGCGTGAGCCAGCAAAGTCTTTCCACAACCAGGTGGACCATGAAGTAAAAATCCTCTTAACGGAGATATGCCAAGTTGTTTAAATATCTCTGGATGTTTTATGTGTGCTAATAATTTGCATACTGTTTTCAAAACCTTATCATTTCCCCCAACATCCGCGAATGTTACTTTTGGTTCGGTAATTGGTATTGTTTTCACCCTTTTTGTTACAGGTAATTGTCCGCTGTCATTTTCTTTATCTCTTTGTCTTTTCCTAGTTGTCGTTTCTGTTTGTGTTTTAGGAATAGAAACCTCATTCTTTGACTGAAACATTAAGATTATAATTTTTTAAATATTTTATTAATATTTCTTTCATGTTGTATTAAAACATGAAATCTATTTATTCGTCTATTACCATTTGGACCAATTGTCTTTCCTCCTTAGAATCGGAGGACTTTTGTACAACCGGCTGAGAATTTGTATTTTCTTGTAAATTTTTATTTGCAACTGTAGAATCTTCCACCTTTATATCAGACTTTGGATCACACTTCTCAACGTCATCATCACTGCTAATATCTATAAGTTCTTTGTCACTGGAATTTCCATTCTGCTTGCCCTTTGATTTCTTGAACATTTTTAATAATACATCTCCTAATATTGCAGGTTGTGGATCTGACTAAAATCCATTGATTTTGTTTGACAAAAATTGATAAAAAAAAAAAAAAGAAGCTATGGCAATAAAAATAATATATTTATATATATATATATATATACTGATACCTCAACATCAACTTCATCATCATCGTCGTCCTCCTCATAAGCATACCAATCACGTGAAGACTTTTTGGCAAACATCTCAGTAAGTTCGTCGTATGCTTTACGTACAAGTGCTCTAAATGCGCTACGCTTTTTTCCACGATAGTCACGATATTTTCTTTGAAGGGTATCAGCCATTTCATTTACATCAATATATACTCTGTTTTCATTTTCATGCATATACTAGAATATAGTATTACACATGAGATATTTTGAAAATAATACTCCCTTTTACGTATATATTTTTTCTATATGTTTGTGTTAGATAATATATGTATATATATATACACACGTATTTATTAGATAAAAATATATAATATATAAACACATGGAAAATATTATTTTTTGGTTATTCGAATAGATATAGTAAATGCAATATGTTACATGTTTTCTGCCATGTATGTGTAATATTATCTGATCCAACGTTAAATATTGTGTAAGTCACTCGAATAATCTGTCAGTACCAGTTGTTATGTTGTAATAATCGGAATAAATCACGTAAAAGAACATTATATATAACGAAAATCAAAATGGTCTATTAATCCCAATTTTTCGATATGTCTAAACGAATTGCAAACGTATGTTTGTTTTTAACAGTATAGATTTCTTTTATATATTATTTAAATATAAACATTACCGTTTGAACACGAGATATTAATAATTGATCTTTGAAAAATCGGTGAGAATTTTCTATTTTGTGTTTATTGTCCATATTTTTTGATTTATAATCACCACTAGATCCTTGTAAGGGAATGATATCAATCGATGAATTTAATTTTCCAACTTTTTGCATTTTTGTTAAGGTTTACCGTCGAACCAGCAGGCACAACTATTTCAAAGAATTAGCTTTACATATAAGTTATCTTTTATATTCCCTGTTATTTTACACGCTTCATAAAGACGCATAGATACGCTACTGATCATACCACCAAACTGATGATAATCACTAAAAATTGCACTTACGCGGCTTTTATAGTAAAATTTGTACAACTTGTGACCATTTGGACAAATCAATATATTCAGTTTATATTTACGAATTGATTTATTAAATTGTATTACAAATAATTTCAAAATATTATATTTATACGTTCATTGCATTTTATTAATTGAATGACAAGGAAAAATGAACGAATCAAAGATTTGCTTAATTTATGCGACTATGTTAAATGGACCAATCAGAGAAATCGAACTGTTGGTGCAGGTGTTCTCAATGTGAAATTCTCGGACTCCTTCGGTATCAAAGATAGAGAACCATTGTTATAGTAAACTTTATTAAAATTGAAGATATTTTTTAAATAAATTTATTAGCGAAATCTATTTAATTTGATTAATTGATTTTAAAGAATATCTTAAAAGATTAAAAGTAAAATTTTATTCTGATTTTGTTGGCGATAGCAAAAAGAAATATACACTTATGTACAGTATAATTGATTCTTAATGATCTCATTTTAAGTTTGAATTCATCCAGGTAAATAAAAGTTAATGACAATATTTTCAAACATATTTGATCGATTAATAATTTATGTTTTTTTCTTCATATTTAGATGATTATGAATAATGGAACTAGTAATCAAGTAATTTTTGCAACAGGAGGTTATGATCATACTATAAAATTATGGCAACCGCATACAGGGAATTGCAAACGTACTTTTACAGAAACAGAATTTGTATCCTTTTATTCTATTATGTTAAGAATAAATTAATCATTATTCGATAATTTTATCTTACCTTCAATAACAATATTTTTCCTCAATAAATTTTAGCAAGTAAATGCTCTAGATATTACACCTGATAAGTATTTTATAGGAGCAGCAGGATATCAACATATTCGCATGTACGATTTAGGAGCAAATGATCCAAATCCAATTATCACTTACGAAGGAGGTTCCAAAAATGTCAGCGGATTTGGCTTTCAGGCATGACAGAACATTAGAATAGTTGAAATATAAAAAAGTAATTAAATGTTATTGTATCCTTATGAATTATAATTGTTAATTCTTATAGGAAGAAGGTAAATGGATGTATACCGGAGGTGAGGATTGTTCTGCACGTATATGGGATCTTAGGTATATTAAATAATTTTAGAAAATTCATTTGTAAATAAATATGAGGAATTAATATTTAATTGTATTTCAGATATTATAATGGTAAATGTCAAAGAATATTTCAAGTCTCTGCTCCTGTAAATTGTGTATGCTTGCATCCTAATCAAGCAGAATTAATAGTCGGCGATCAAAGTGGCGTTATACATTTATGGGATCTTCGTTCGGATCATAATGAACAATTGGTACAGCAATAATTATAATTTAATAATTTTCTTTTTTTTTATTTAGAAAAATACCAAGTATATATTTCTAATAACAAATTTCTCTCTTTATAGATACCAGAAACTGAAGCTTCTATACAAGATATTGCAATAAATCAAGATGGTACATATATGGCTGCTGTAAATAATAAAGGTCATTGTTACATCTGGACGCTAACAGGAGGTATTGGAGAGGAACCAACCAAACCTATTCCTCGCCATAAACTTTTGGCTCATAATCGTTATGGATTACGTTGTAAATTTAGTCCCGATTCTACGTAAGTAAAAATTCAATTCATTGATTTTATATTTGTTAATAAAGAAAAAAGAAAAAAAAAAAAGTAGATTTTATATATTTAGCCTGCTCGTGACTACGTCTGCTGATCAAACCGCTAGAGTATGGAAAACTACGGATTTCTCAGAGATACAGGTATTGCAACATGAAGCAAAACGTTGGGTTTGGGATGCAGCTTTCAGTGCAGATTCACAATATGTATTCACCGGTATAATTATTATAGATAATGCTAAAAACTCGATAGAATAGACTTTAATATTATCATTTTCTTTAGCTTCTTCTGATGGCATTGCAAGATTATGGAACGTTACAACTGGAGCGATAGAACGCGAGTATAAAGGCCATCAAAAAGCAGTAACTGCATTGGTATTTTATGAAGAAGCTGTAACGACGACGGCTTAATAGCTGAAACGAAAGGTGTATAGAATAAATCTTTTCTAATTTATTAAAACGATAAACTAATGTTTCTACAGAACGATACACAATATTATTTAGAGAAATAATATTATGTTCGCAATAAACTATATATATATTATACATACGTATTACACACACACACATATATATATATAAAAATATAATGAGTGAATTGTGAATATGACGTGTAAAAAAAAAAAAAAAAGAAAAGAAAAGAAAAGAAAAAGAAAAAAAAACCAGGATATGTAGAGAAAATATATCATTTCAGATTTTTCACTAAAGTTAGATCGAATGTAATATTAGAAAGAAGGGAAAATCTGAAATTTTCGTTTCAATTTATTTCATTTCGTTTTATTTCGTTTCTTACATCGAACGAATATATGAGTGACTAATTCGCCGTTCGTAAGAACGATAAACGAAATGTAACGATGATAAACCTAATAAATGTTAGGATGATAAACGTAAATGAAGTATATTCCTTTGAAGCGAATGCTTTGTAATTCAGTAGTCGATCGGATATCCAATAACGAACAGCTTCGTATGTTCCGTCGTGTCGTATCGTATGTTCTTTCTTACAAAATATTCTCAGTTACGAAATTCTATTGAATATTAGAATAGACTATGTGTTGATATAGTATCGTGTAAGATAAAAGATATCGTTATCATCATATTACTATTTATTGTCGTTATCTCTCTATTTATTAGTATATCCATAATACTATTCTATTAAAATGATATTTACGTTTGTCTTCCGAACGTCCAGGAAATTATTAGAGCTACATGAAAGAAAAAAACATATTAGAAATCTGCATTTTAAATTTTATCCAAATACAAGTTCGCTTGTATCAGAGCGTGAGTAAATCATTGAATTTTAAATGAAAGTTTCATTAAAAACATTCTATCTGTGTTGTTTCATTATTGAAGAAAGATCTTTTTAATAATTATTATTTAAAAACAAATTTATAAATTGTGTCGATTAGTAATAAAAATAAAATAAAATTTTCGATGTACATATGTGCTTTTCTTTTCTTTTTTTTGTTTCTTTTTTTTTTTTTTTGTTCATACTGCTTTCATGTTAACGTTGGATAAAATATTTTCAATATTTATTTTAATTTTCTTTCTAAACTTTTTTTTTTTTTATTATAAAAAATGAGTACGAATTCGAATACGAATTTCATACCTCGTTCGATTTACGTACGTATACACATGCGCATTCTAATGAATTAATTAGTTACTATTCCTAGGTAAGACCGAAAAATTGAATATGTATCAAGCAATAAATCAAGCTTTGGACATTACTTTGAAAAAGGACACATCCGCAGGTGAATATTTATTTCTTTTTTTCTTTCCTTTTACATAAATGAATTTAATATGAACTTGAATCGATTATACTATCGAAAACTGATTATTTGCGCTTGTATTGCTTAAAACAAAACCTTGGAAAGACTGATAACAGCAAAATATTTCCGAGAATAATAATAATAATAATAATGATGATGATGATGATGATGATGATACATTTTAATGAGAAACATATGCATTCGATAATAAAAAGTAATAATGATAGGAGAGAATGAAAAATTTATTAAAGAAAATACTGATAAGAGAATACATTAACATTGTCGATAAGCTATGTGCGTAGGTTATTATAATTGTATAATTTTCTCTTCTCTCTCTCTTTTTTTTCTACATATTTTTTTTCTTTTCGTCTATTTTCTTTTCCACTTTTTAATGCAGTAATATTCGGTGAGGACGTTGCATTCGGTGGTGTATTTCGTTGCACCGTAGGACTTCAAAAACGTTATGGTTCCGATCGAGTATTCAACACCCCATTATCCGAACAAGGTATCGCAGGTTTTGGTATAGGTTTGGCGAACTGCGGTACAACCGCTATTGCAGAAATTCAATTTGCTGATTATATATTTCCTGCATTTGATCAGGTGATTAAATATATTGGATTTATTATATCTTTGCTTTCTTTCTTTTCTTTTTCTCTTTTTAATGGATTATTAATGGATTTACGTTTCAAATACAATTTTTATTTTGTTATTGTCAGTTAGTTAATGAAGCAGCAAAATGCAGGTACAGAAGCGGCGGAATGTTCGACTGCGGAAAATTAACGATTCGTACACCTTGCGGTGCGGTAGGACACGGAGGACATTATCATTCTCAAAGTCCAGAAGCTTACTTCGCTCACACGCCTGGATTAAAGGTACGTATTTATTTATAATATTTGCAATAAAAGAAAAAAAAAAAAAAGAAGAAACATCTATTATACCGTGTATATGTAAATAACTATAATATCATTGTTACCGACAGAGCAGTAAGCTTTGATAAAACAGTAAATAATAGAAATTTTTACTTTAACATCGTGTTATATAACTTTATTTTTTTTTCAATCTTTATATAATTTAATAATACATACATATCTTTATAATTTATTAAAATTAATGATGTTACGATAATTGTTGACTGATTTCGTAATATTTCTTCGTCATTTTTTTCTTATCGCTCGGTGTGTTACGTTTTTCAATTATAATTTTCTAATATATTCAATTTCCAATTTACAATTATTGATATTAATTGAAAGATTATATATTTTATGTAATTATGTAAATATATATATGCGTGCACTACACATTAACCCCGTATAGAATGATGATTATAATATTAAATCACATATGATATTATCTATCGTTCGAAATGTAAAATATTCTTCAAAACATTTTCGTTAATTAGGCTCTATCGTAGGTCGTTTAAGAAAAAACGTGTTTTTTTTTTCTTTTTTTTTTTCTTTTTTTTTTGTTGATTCATTCAATTCATTCATAGACACTATACGTAACCACTTATGTAAACAATTTTATATCAATTGATATATCGTTCGTCGCATACGTGTTAAAATCTGTTAATAATATGTACGACAAATATATATACTCATCGTAATTAAAGAGTTCATAATATTTTGTATTATACTCGTTCATGAAGAAAAAAAAAATTGGCATTCGTTATGTTAAATTAAAATTTTAATAAAAACTAAATGATCTTCCTAAATTTCAGATGTTTTATAATATTTTTTGACAACAATGAAATAAAAAAGAGAAAAAAAATTTTATTAAACAGCGTTCATCGTCGCAGGTTTTTCTTTCTTTCTTTCTTTTTATTTTTAACATTGGTACTTCTATTAATTCCTGCAACATATTTCGTCGGGATTCTGGCGTTGTTTCATATGGAATTTAATAATTACATCCGTGAATTAAACGTACACGACACGGATATGGCACGGAAACGACACGGAAATGACATAGTAAATCAAGGCGATCCTGTTAAGAAGGTTATTTCGAAGTTAAACATTTTTTTTTATTTCTTTTTTTTTTTTACAAATTATAATAAAATATATTTTTGTTTAAACAATTTATACGTTTGATTTATGAAAACATTTATATCGATTATCATTCGTTTTATTATTTTAAATCAGACTTATAATAGTTAATGAATTAAGATATCTGTTTAAGATAAAATCTATCGTTATCTTTTGAGATCTGTTTTATCGACCGACATAACCCTTTACATAACAATTTACTAAAGTTGTAAGTAGATGTCGATACTATAAGAATATACGTTTACGTGGTAATGTAGAAAATCGTCGTATAAAAATGCAGATGGCGGAACGGATAAATCAAAGTGCTTAAAGAAATTTAACGAAAAATAATATCAATTTATACATACATATATATATATTTTTTTCTAGATTAATATTCGCTATGACGATTATGATAATAATAAAATAATTTAGAAAATGTAAGAACTTTATACGAGATAGTTTCCTAAGATTTTACGTTGGATGGATAATATCAATCATAGTTTTTAATAATTAATTGGAAAAAAATATGATCTTAGATGTTCTTTGGCGATATCTTTATAAAATACTTTCAAAGACTCTCATCCTTCTTCTTTTAAAGACATTTTCCTCTATCAGTAAAGGCCTTTAACTTTGAACAAGAAATTCCATGAATATTGTAAGACGACGCGTGCTTTACCTATGCATGAAGAAAGTTTTCTACGTATTATATATATAATATATATATATATATATATATATATATATATATATATATATATATATAATACGTGCGCACATGTATGTATGTATGGTATAGTTTGTTCTACACATACACAAATAATACATATGTATATATTTTTTTTATATCTATACACACATATAATATTACATTATATATATAACTTACATCTATATATTATTCTTATATATATCTATATACTCATATAATATTACATCTATGCACATATCTTATATCTATATATTAGTCATATATGCTAACTTATATAGATTCATATAGATGTAGATAGATTCATAGAGATCTATATACATATATAGAGATATGTATTACGTACATATATACACGTGTTGTACACATGTAAACAGCATGCAATAAATGTGCATCTATAGTGTTCTCGCGAATGAGTAATTGTATTATATCAGAAATGTAATTTTTGCGGAAATAAAAAAGAAAACATATCGTTTGTTTCAGTTAAAAAAGAAAAAAAAAAGGAGGAAAGGAAGGAAGAAAGAAAGAAAGAAAGAAAGAAAGAAAGAAAGAAAGAAAGAAAAAAAGAAAAAAAGAAAGAAAGAAAGAAAGAAAGAAAGAAAGAAAGAAAGAAAGAAATAAAGAAAATGGAAATCTCAATGAATTTTCTATTACATTATATCTTCCTCTTTTCTCTTTATTTTATTTTACGGTGATCCTGATTTCTTTCGAATAGATCATATTTGTTATCTCATATTGTTTCTTTTATAGATCGTAATACCACGAGGACCCGTACAAGCGAAAGGACTTTTATTGAGTTCCATCGAGGAACCAGATCCTTGTATAATCTTCGAACCAAAGATCCTTTATCGTACAGCTGTTGACGAGGTACCAGTTGGACATTATAAAATTGAAATTGGTAAAGGAGAAATAGTAAAAGAAGGTAGTTCTATCTATACATTTGTTTATGTATATATATACATTATTTTATATAATTACATATATATATATTTACAGGGTTTTATTTTAACCAGAAAAAAAAGAAATTAGCCTAAAAAAAGTCTAATTAGGTTTAATAGACTAATTCTAAAAAAATTCTTTTAATAAAAATCTAAGAACTTTTGCCCTACCATATATATATATATATATATATATATATATATATATATATATATATATATACATAAGTAGTATAAATATAAGTTTGTATAGGTTTCATACATAGAAACACACGCACACGCACACAGACACACATATACTATTAATAATAAATTTCTATTTTAACATAGGAAAAGATGTGACTCTTATAGGATGGGGTACGCAGGTGCATGTACTATTAGAAACAGCCGATATCGTCGAAGAAAAGCTCGGTGCATCTTGCGAGGTGATAGACCTTCTTTCCATTATACCTTGGGATGCAGAACTAGTTTGCAAGGTAATCCAATTCCAATCTAATTCTTAATTTACATACAAAACGATGCAATGTCACGTATAAATGAATTCTACGATAAACAAATATTATACTCATTATATACATATTAGACAAAATCATTTGAAATTTTTTTTTATCATTTCATATATATATATATATATATATATATATATATATTTTTTTTTTTTCTTTTTACTTTTTTTTCTCCTTCATAACACGCAATCTCACAATATTCAAGCTTCAAATTATAATAATAGTATAATTAATAGCGTCAAGAAATGGAAATATTTACGTAGGCCAGGGTTCAAGCATTATCCTTTGGACTGACGTCCAGCGATGCAGATCGTAATTGGAAAGTTCGTTTCGTTGGTAAATTCATAGAGATATTCGTGGTTAAATCTCTCGTTTCTTTCTCTCGATACTTCGACGAGTCCACGGACTGTTAGTTTGCGCAACTAAGAAACTGTTTCGAAGGCTCATCGAGAAGGTTGCTAATCGGAAGATTAGGTCTCTCTTCAACAACAGGAATAGAAATAGAAAGAGAGAGAGAAAGAGAAAGAGAGAAAGAGAGAGAGAGTGAGAGAGAGAAAGAGAGAGAAGGTGAGAAAGAGCACGTGTTTCTTACGTCTTCAGAACGAAATCAGCCTGCTCAGATAGCTCGAGATCCGCGATCGAACGCTCAGCGTTTATAAGGACTCTATCTTTCCCGTTCCACGTGTTCTCCATCTTGCGTAATGTCTCCATGAGCAAACGTGCGCGCGCGCACGTTAGAACGTAGACCGTCGTTCGTTGTTGGATGAATATGGCTGAACTATCTCGACCGAAACGTTAGAATATCTTGCCAATAAACTTTCGCATTTACGATGTATAATTTTTACTCGTATATACATACATATGTGTATATATATATATATATACTTGCCTATATATGATTTCTTTTCTTTTTTCCTTTCTTTCTCTCTCTCTCTCTCTCTCTCTCTCTTGTTATTTTCCTTTTTTTCTCTTAATATCCTTATCTATGAACGCGTATAATTATACGATTCATTCGTTCCACCTTACACACTTAACACTCATAATATATACGATCTAATAGTGTGGATATTAATATCAGTTGTATTTCTTTTGATTTTTATTAAAAAGTATTCATTCGGAATAAAAATCTGTCTTTATCGGCGAGATGAAAGAAAGAAAGAAAGAAGAAAGAATTCGTCATTATTATCGCGTTGTTTGAACAAATACAGAGAGATTATTAAGGAAGTGCAATTTACAAAGGTGTCATTAAGGATAAATAATGATTAAAGAAAGGTACCGTGCGTGCTTGTGTGCATGCATAATTGTGTGTCTGTGTATGTATATATGTATGTGTGTCCGTTCGCTACATCTGTATAAGTATGTGCGTCGTTGATGACGTAGAAAGCAACGCTGACAGGCTTCAAAAATATAAATTGCCTCGTAGTATTCTGATAATCCAATTGTAGGCGACTCTATCTATCTATCTCTCTCTCTTTCTCTCTTTCTTTCTTTCTTTCTTTCTTTCTCCATGGGTCTTAATTACGCTAAATCGGATGAAGTTTCGCGTAATCCATGCTCGGGATCAGCCTTGGGTAAATTATCGATGTGATTTTATGCCAAGAATCGCGTCGCGTGCACGCGCCATAACGCACTTTCCAATCGGTTTTGTTAATGATTTACAAGTATTAATCGTGTTATATCTATACAATATAGGAACTCGCGTACGTAAATGTACGTATATACTATCATATCAGAGACTGCGTCTTAATTACTTATCTAGGTACAATAACGTGTTTGTAAACTTCGTAAATTGAACACCGGCAGTTAGGTTGTACGTGTTCCTACCCGATTTGATTATCGATAATATGTAATACCGGCTATGGTGTTAATGCGCCATTTAACATCTGTCCCCTTCCATATAAATAAATTATTATGATGGATTGAACACAAATCGTAAATCATGATGATAATTTGATCGTACGTCCAACGTACATACGTATGTATCAAACGTTGGTGTATCTGGATATCCACATAAATACTAGTCTATGGATATTATACACGTTGCGAATTTAATTATCATCTAAAAACTTTCTCTTCTATATATATATTTTTTTCTCTCATTGTCAATTAATATTATATATCTTTTTTTTTCTTTTTTTTTTTTTTGTTTTGTTTTGTGCATCTTTTCATCGAAGTCCGTGAGGAAGACCGGACGTGTCATCGTTGCGCACGAAGCACCAAAGACCAATGGTTTTGGGGCGGAAATAGCGGCTCGTATTCAGGTAAAAATAATTATTTTTTATTTTCATATGATTATGATCAATATGATCGATTCGATAAAAGGAAATTTGTTTTACTCCTTAGCTAATTCATTTTCTTTATTGCGTTAACTAGATACTGTGAAATGTTACTATCTACGATCAGATGTCGAGAGAGAAAGAGAGAGATTCAATTTCGAGATTGTAGAATAATAAATATGTACATAGATATCCTAAATGTCATTGCACAATGAGATAAAATTTTTTTTTCTCTCTCTCTCTCTCTTTTTTCTCTCATTCTTCGGGGCAACGTACGCTACGCTACGATTGTTAATGTCTTTGATCATCGCAATTGAGTGCAATTAGCGGTAATAAAATTAATTACCAGACGTTGAATTTCTTCTTATGACTTCGAAATTATACCGCGTTTCTATATCGATATATATATATATATTAAAGATAATTATAAAGAAAGAGTTATTTCATCCTTCGAACGTTTAAAATCATATTACCTAATTAGATTCCTTGTTAAAATAAATGTTTTTTAAATCTTAACTATAACATCGCTTACTATTACAATAATTATCATAATAATTTTGTTTTATAAAAAAATTAATATTTGCTAATATTATAACGCAGGAGGAATGTTTCTTAAACTTGGAGGCACCGATTATGAGGATCACCGGTTGGGACACACCATTTCCATACATTTACGAGGATTTATATTTACCGGACAAATGGCGTTGTTTCGCCGCAGTTAAAAAGAGCCTTGACTATTGAAAGATCGCCTCCGTCTATGAATGTGGATGAAAGGCTGGAATAAATGAGGGAGAAAGGGAGTTTAGAACTCTCTGGGTACCACCCATCGAAGTGATACATGTGTCTTTCAAACTCGAAATGAATTCCGTGACATCGATTTTTCGTATTTGCGGCATATGTGCCTATACTTACATTGCCACAGTTACATCGGCTTGTCACGTGCTCTTAGACCGGTCCCGCGACAATTTGATCGTATCATGCTAGTTCTCTCTCTATCTATCTATCTCACTATTTCTATTTCTATATTTATCTTTATCTCTTTTTCTATCTAGTGTTTGCACCCTTTCTGATCGTATCAAAGAACGTGATCTCTTTCTCCTTTGACATGGATAACAATCGCTTAGATTTTAAACGGATCCCTCGACGGATCCATTTTTTTTCTTTTTCTTTTCAATCGTAACAATGTCGTCGTCGTCGATATATTAATATATATTAATATTAAAAGATATAACAATATTAAGATATATTAATATATATCGTTACACCCAATTGGTCGAGAACGTTTATTTAATAACGAGTAAAACTTTTATAGACTTGTAAAAGAATTCCCGCAAATTGGTATGTATAAGACGCCGTCGCCGTCGCCGTCGCCGTCGCCGTTGCCATTGCCGTTGCCGTTGCCGTTGCCGTCCCTTCCACCCTCCTCTCCCCGAGGGCAGGCAATTGGATCGGCAGGTATTTGGATATCTCTAAACGCGGATCGTACGATTACGTACGAGAGAAAAAAAAACTATACTCAGTTCGGCAGGCATTAATTGTTATCGATAGGTTTTTGCTTAAAAGAGTTATATGTATATCCCTGGCCCAGTTTAGTCTCGACCAAACCCACATAAATCCTTTCGCGTTTAATTTAATGAGACGAAGAAAGACGATACGCCGGGCGTCGATGGCGACGGTGATGTTAACGAGAGATCAAGAAAGGGGTTTCGGAGGAAGGGGGATTAAGAAGAGAAGGAGGGAGACGGAAAGAGAGATCAAGGGGGAGCGCCACGACGAACCGATATATTCATAATTAGAATGGTGTATATCCATACGATATATGGGATAAATCGGGTCAAGTCCGTCTTTCGTCCGCGGTAAAACGAAGCGCACCGATCTTAGCGACCGTCGTAACGCAATATTTTAATCAAGGCTTCGCTCTCTTGGTCGCTGCCGCCGCCGCCGCATTCGAAAGCCGATCGATCGATCGATCGTCTCTTATCTAAAAAAAAAAAAAAAAAAAAAAAAAAGAAAAAAGAAAACTATTGTTACAGTTATTTCGATTTTTTCTAAATGTCATTTTTGATACGATTGAACGGTTCAAACGCGAATTAGATCGAGACAAGTAATGATTCCCCATGATTTGAGAACCGAAGAATCAACATCCTTCTTGAAATTTTCTCATACGCATTTGCAATTTGTTTAATTATTAATCGTTACGGAAGAAAGAGGGTAATAGCATTGAGAATATTCGAAATTGTGAAGGAAGTCCGTAACGTGGCTTGTTCGTGTAACGTATTTTGTAATTTGAAAGGGAAACCACATTCTTTCACCGCGTATTATGATACGTGAAAGTTAGCAACGCAGCGCCTACGGTGTGATGCAGTAGGTACATTGAAGAGAGACGAAGAGAATGGCTAGACAGAGAGAGAGAGAGAGAGAGAGAGAGAGAAAGAGTAAGAGAGAGAGAGTAAGAAAGAAAAAGAGAGAAAGAAAGAGAGAGAGGTGATCGTTGCTGTGAGACATGGACTATATCGAAGGTCGACCTGTTGCCTTTTTATTTTGTTGATTTTTGCAGGAATAGAGCAACTGTCCTCTCTCTCTCTCTCTCTTTCTCTCTTATTCTTTTATAGATCAGTTAACATATGGTACAGACACATATGCGGACGTTAATATTCGTCCAGTTTTGGTTAGCACGAAATTGTTCAGTCACCTGAACGGATCACCCTTGAGAAGCTTCGTTCCTCCTATCGTGTTTGTTTCCTCGTTTCATTCGAAAGATTCGAAAGGGATCCACCGATCTGGAACGATCGCGCAACCGATTTCGACGAATCTCTTGGATGGATCTCTTCCAAACAAAGAGAAAGAGAAAGAGAAAGAGAAAGAGAGAGACAGAGAGAGAGAGAGAGAGAGAGAAAGAAGGAGAGAGAAAGGTAGAGAAAGAGTAAAAATCGTATGAACAAACCTGATACCTTTGGATTCAGACAAAGAATAGAGAAAGGGATAGAGAAATTGAAGAGGAATAAAGTAAACAAAGAACGTAAAATAAAAGCAGATTTAATTAAAAAAAAAAGAAAAAAAGAGAGAGAGAATCACATGTATTAATCCGTTAGACATCTTTGATGGTGTTAATTCAAATCGTTCGATCTTTGATTTTAATTTCCACGTGTCAATGTCACGCAAGTGTTATCCACTTTTAAAAAGAATCAATTGCTCGAGTACACGAGCACGATGATGTATATTAATTGATTTATAATACGTACACACCTACAGTCATCCAACTTTAATTATTTCGATTATTTTATTTTTCATTCATTTCGACAGATGTTATTTATGCGTTACATACGTACGCCTAAAAGGAACTTTCTTCGATTATTTTTCTTTTTTTTTACTAATCTGTTTTACTCTCACTTACACAAACAATCAATAAGATCAAATCGCCAATGAAGTATTTACGAGCTATGAAACGAACTGTGAAACGATAGATTTTATCTTTCATTTTCGTTGCGTAATTTTTTACTTTTTATTTCTCTCTCTTTCTCTCTCTCTCTCTCTCTCTCTCTCTCTCTATCTCTATCTCTTTCCTTTTTTTTCCCTCTCGTTAATTTCAATTTTATCTTCAAGCTGCGCCTTATCTTCGTTACTAAGTGTTACCAAAAAGAAAAAAGAAAAAGAAAAAAAGAGATACGATCATATTACTTTATTAATATTAATAAAAGTATTTCTTTCTGTCGTCGCCATTTTTTTATTTCCTCTCTTAAAAATATCTGTCGTATTATTTTCACCGATGTCCTCATAGCGCGTTCTTTTTTTTTTTCTTTTTTTTATTCTTCTCTTTTCCTTTCCTTCCTTTTTCTTTTTCTTTATCTTTTCTTTTTCTTTTCTCTTTTCATTCTTCTTTTCTCAAGTTGGTGATCGACAAACGTAATAGCGAGTGGTATATTACGAAGGCAAGGATTAGAAAGAGAAAGAAAGAGAGAGAGAGAGAGAGAAAGAGAGAGAGAGAAAGAGAGAAAGAGAGAGAAAGCCGATTACAAACAGCGGACTCTCCAGAGGAATTTATGTAACTTTGAAACAAACGACTTCTTTGTCTTCTCTTAAATCGTTGCCCGTGATTATCGCGATTAGCAATTGGCAATTAAGAGCCCTGGTATTTTCCGGTAAACGTCGTTGACTGGTTACCATCATTAGAACAAGATACAGGGATTTCCTTCTTAGACGAAGAGATAAAACTCTAACAAGAAGTTCAAGAATACATGTAGGGTGAAATATATATATATATACATACACACATACACACACACAGAGACATAAGTGTAAATGTGTATAAAGAGAGAAAAGAGTTGGACTCGTCTAGGATCCTAAAAAAAAAAAAAGAAAAAAGAAAGAAAGAAAAAAAAGGGAAAAGGAAAAAAAGAAAAAAAATACATTTTGTGGTATCTTGATTAGCTCGAGTTTTACTTCGAGAAAGTCATTAGTATCTTAAAAGTTGCGAAAACTATTTAAAAATCGTAAATAATTTCTCAATGTGCATTCTCATAAGAAAGAATAAATGATTAAATAAAAAGGGAAAAAAAGAGAGAGAGAAAGAAATAGAGAGAGAGAGAGAGAGAGAGAGAGAGAGAGAGAGAGAGAGAAAATATTAAATAAAGATATGTATATTAGTTATATCGAATTATAATGTTCACCTACAAATTGATAAATCGATTATATTTTTATGTGTTTCAATTTTTTCTATATTATAATACTAGGTTTTAATTTCTCTCTCTCTCTCTCTTTTTTTTTTTTTTTTTTTTAACTAATATGGCCGGACCGATTTTTTTTTTTTTTTTTTAACTTATAGAAGGGTATCACGATTAGATCGATAGATAATAATAGATTTCAAAGTAGAATACACAACTCACAGTTTTTACGATGCATATTGGCATCGTTATCATTATTGGCATGAGCTATATAACATATATATATATATATATATATATATATATATATCTACGTACTTGTATATAAAGATATAGATAATGGTAGATAGAGATAGATATATATTTTTTATATTATATATATATATATATATATATATAATATATATACACATTATATATAGTGGCATTTTAACGTGTTATTCGACACGTGGACATGCGTGGAAGGCGAGAGCGACAATTTCGTCGAGTCGGAGAACGTACGAAAGTATTACGCTCACTTACGTTTCTGTATATATACATATATATATTTATATATAGACTATATACATATGTGAAATACATTAAAGATCCTTGTGACCCCTTAGTGGCCATTTTACATTGAATAAACTAGATTTAAAAATGAAATGTTAATTACTAATTGAATGTTACATTTTATCTAATCAATCGAAGCAACAATCTCTTTCTTTCCCTCTCTCTCTCTCTCTCTCTTTCTCTTTCTTTATATCTTTCTATAATACATATTATTTCCACTCATTCGTAAGTGAAAAAAAAAATATATATATATATATATAATCAATAGATTGACTTTTTTGTATGTGATAATTACTTAAAAAAAAAAAAAAAATAAGAAATTATCGAAGAGAACAATCTTGAAATTTTGTATCTCTCTCTTTCTCTCTTTTTCTTATTCTCATGAAATTGTGCCATAAATACGAATTTATCTATCCATCTTGCTCTATTTCCCTTTCTACGATTTTATCCTCGTCACTTTCACAAGATAGATACAACTTATTTCTCTATTCCGTTCTTCTTGCATTTAATATAGAGAGAAATAGTATAGAATAATGATGATAATAATCGCTTGCGTCGACAAGCCTTACGATAAATCAATCGACAACCGATAATGCAACACACCTGTACATATTCGTCGATTATGCTTCGTTTTACGTAGATCATCTCTATATCCCTCTATCCTCCTTCTTTCGTACATTTTCTTTTACATGATAGAGTCGAGTATTTTTTTCTTTTTTTCATTCTTCTCTTTTTTCTTTCCTTTTTTCTTTTTCTTCTTCTTTCGACACATATATATAATATATATATATATATATACATACACACATATTTTACTGCTTCATAATATAGGACTCATATGATTATTTCATTATCTACATTATTTATCATATTATTGTCCATATTGGATATCGTTATTGTGAGGAGATAAAAAAGTACCACATTTTATAAAACCACATAACAGGATACAATGGTTAGCTAAAAGAAAAGAAAGAAGAAAACAGTTAATACAGTAGATATATATATATATATTTATGTGTGGGTATGTATATATATATATATATAGATAGATGAATTTTAATTGGTATAACGTTGTAAAACTTTTGAATCAATAAAATTCGACAGCAGAAACGTGTTAACCTTCAATCGACCTTCAGCGAAAACAATCACGTTCACTCGGTAGAGATAAATATGTAGACTAATAAGCAGAATTTCTAAAATTAACCCATGTTATATCGCACATGACGTATCAGTTATTATATATAAATATATCAATTATTAGGTTCAACCAAGAAAATCAATATGGTTAGATCATTAGAAAATGATACTTCTTAATCAATAAGAAAGGTTATTCTAATTAACATTAGATAATTTTTCATTTTATACTTTATCTACATATAATTATGAATGTAAAACTTATTAAAACGATAATATTAAAAGAATTAATCGATAGGAAAAGATAGACAGAGACAGAGAGAGAGAGAGAGAGAGAGAGAGAAATATATATATATATATATATATATATATATATATATATACATATATAGATAAATAGATAGAAATAAAATACAAGGAAGAAAAAAAGTAAAAAGAAGGATAAAAATGATTAAAACAATGCTTCGCGTTGTGCGTTCCTCTCGATGAGAACGACGTTAATGTCGATAATGTGCCTGGGCTAAAGAGAACCAAAAGCAAAAAAAAAATGAAAAATAGAAGGCGAAGAGAAAAAAATAAAAAGAAAAGAAACACAATAAAAAGGAAAGAAAGATAGAAAGAAAGAAAGAGAAAAAAGGACGAGAAGAAAAGAAAAAGAAACAACATCGCATCGGACGCCGGTATGGCGACGCGGCAACGCGGCGGCGCTGCTTTCGATTTCGTTCGTATTATAACTCCGTCTTTCTTCCTCTTTCTTCGGCCGTTTTCGGCTGCTGGTAGCGTAGACTCGGGTAAGTGGGGAGGGAACACGGACAAGGGCGATGCTCGACGAGGCGTTCGCGACTCGGGTGGGGCGGGTGTACGCCGGGATGGACCGACTCCGTAGGTCTCTCACAGTGCCGAACTTCCTCGCTCGTCCCGTGCTCGTCACCGCAATCGTGTTCCGCAACCGTGTTCCGCAATCGTCTATCTCGTATACGTTCCCGTTCGTGTAAAAGAAGAAGAAGAAGAAGAAGAAGAAAAAAAGGACAGTAGAACTCACTCTATTTTATATTATTTCCTTATATCGTTAACAAATTCAATTCATTCGTCGAGAATCAATCTAACATTTATATATATATACATATATATATATATATATATATAATATATTGGTATACCGGTATTCTAGTTCTTTTATTATTTATTTTTTATTCGTTCTTCGCTTTTTCTCTCCTATTACAAATCATTATTATACATTCTTTTTTTCAAAATTGTCGAATTAATTTCTGTGTTGGAAAAAAATATTTTATTAATATATGTATATATATATATATACATATAAATATATATATATATATTAATAAAAAGAGAGAGGAAGAGAGAGAGAGAGAGAGAGAGGGGTTATAGACAAGACAGGATAGATTAAATAGATACGTACGAGATAACTTCGAGGAAGCTGCTCAACGAAAAAAACAAAATAAGAAAAACAAAAGAGAAGAAAAAGAAAGGAACAGTGTGTGTGAGAGAGAAAGATAGACACGGACATAGATAAAGATAGATAGATAGATAGTAGATAAATAGTTAGAGAGAGAGAGAGAGAGAAAGAGAGAGAGAGAGAGAGAAGGAGAGGGAAGGAACTGGCAGCAAATCGAAATTTCCTCGCTCTCTCGCTTCCACCTTTGGTACCGAGGGCATACCACGTGACCATTCGCGAACGGTATCGAAGTGAATCTCGTTACGGAGTGCGGAGACACGCTGCGGAGAATTAGTCGAGTGCGAGAGAGATCGATTACGTTCATAACCTCGAACCTTCGTCGTTTACGCCCTTCGTCGTCGTCTTTTTATTCCTTATTACTTATTCTTTCGTATTATTTTTATATATACATATATATATATATACATACATACACACATATATATATATATATATATATATATACATATATTTTATTTTCGGCCGGTTATTAACGCCGGTGAATTAAGCATTGCAAAGAGTGTTTGTGTAAATTCACGTAGTAATATAAAAAAAATGAACTCGACGAAGGTGTCGTCGTCATCGTCGTTGTCGTCATCATTGACGTCGACTACGACGTCGTCGTCGTCGTCGTCGTGTAACAGCATGAACGATCAAAAGAAGAAGAAAAAGGAGAAGAAGATTGAAGAAGAGGAGAAGGAATCGTTATCATCATCATCAACCTTGTCATCATCGTCGTCATCTTCTTCTTCGATGTCGGGAATCAAGGAAGAAGAAATAAGGAAGCTCGAGATCGTCACAGAAAAGGGAGGAGAAATAGACGAAAAGATGGAATCGACGAAGAAAGGAGAAGAAGCTAATCGATGCATTGAACGCGTTCAGATCGTGCCATTTATGCAGGTGAGTCTTAAAGTTACGTAACTTATTCTTTAGGGAAGAGTATATATGTATCGTATTAGAGATATAGACAGATACAGAGAAAGAGAGAGAGAAAGAGACAGACAGACAGACAGCAGACAGAGAGAGAGAGAGACAGACAGACAGAGAGAGAGAGAGAGAGAAAGAAATATATATATATATATATATATATATATATATATATATAGAAAGAGAGAGAAAGATTAAGTTCGATGGTGTTGGTTAGAATAAGAAGTTATAAAACGTAGGTAGAAAGAGAGAGTGAGAGAGAGAGAGAGAGAGGAAGAAAGAAAGAGAGAGAGATAGAGAGAGAGAGGTTGGGTTTGGTCGTGGCCGATTGTCGATCGGTTAAGTTTATTCTTTTGAAGGCATGATTTAAGTAAGTGATTACGAAATTTTGTTGATATTAATCGATAAGCCCGATCGTAATCATACGATAAAAGTAATATTATCAGGAGGTTAGAAATTTTTTTCTTTTTTTTTTTTCTCTTTTTTTTCTTGTGTGTGCTCACATTTTCTAGAACGAAAGAGAGAGAGAGAGAGAGGGAGGGACGAAAAATTGATCACGTGGTGATACAACATGCTCTAAAATCATTCTATTTATTCTACTTTTTTATTGAATCGTATCCAGCTATAGATAAGCTACATAATATATATGACGAATGTCCTTCGAATAATTTTCTACGATCATTTCTTTCAAATCGATTATAAATTGCTTTTTTTTTTCTTTTTTTTTTCCTTTTTTTTTTTTTTTATGAATGACTTGTTTTTTCTTTTTCCTTCTGTTATTGTTGTTATTTTTTTTTCTTTCTAAACGAAGAAAATAATATTTGTCTTGACCAGTCACGTGAGACTCTCTCTCTCTCTCTCTCTCTCTCTATCTATCTATCTTTCTCCCGCGAAATTTTGAATATCTATATTCGTGTACTTACACTGTTCGTCTATTTTACTTTTTTCTTTCCCTTTTCTTTTCTCTTTTCTATATAATATGAATGGGAATGAACTTTTTTTTTTTTTAACAAAGACGAATTCTAAGAACTCGTACTTGGTATTTTCGATCGATCGATACAGGTGTTCTGTAACTTTCGAAAAATTATCGCGATCGTTAAAAATGTCTCAGGCTATACTTTTACGGCAGGTGCCACGCCTATTTAGTTCGTAAGACCGATCAAAATCGCTTTTGTACAGTGAAAGAATGAGAGAGAGAGAGACGGACACATACAACACATACACACACACACACTCAAACGTATCAAAGATAGGGTGAAAGTTCTTTACGACTGGATTGGACGCACGTGACCAATTTTATTTTCCTTTTTTTAATTTTTGTCCTTTTAATTTTTTTCTTTTCCTTTTTACAATTTTAGCAATGCGTGTCGTAACTTTAATTAGAAAATTATACAATGTTTATACAAATAATCGAAGAATACATGACTAAGATAATCGCATTCATTTGACTAATTATCTTGTAGATCGTAATGCATTGATGAATTACATAACAGAAAAGGTGTAAAAATCATCAAGGGTTTGAGTAAAAAATTGTCGAAAAAAATTTCTAGTTTTAATTAGTTTGAAGTGAAAAAAAAAAAGAAAAGAAATGTATAATCTAAGGAAAGAGTTTCAAGAAAGGTTCAATCGATATTTTAAAAATGACGTAAGAAAACTTTTGGCCCGCCCTGTAGAAGAAGGAAAAAAAAAAGAAAAAAATAAATATTTTCTAATAGCTTATACGCACGCACGCACGCATGCACCCATGCACGCATGCACGCATGCATGCTCACACTAACGCATAAACGAAGCACACAGTTCGTCTAAGCGAGTTGGCACGTACTAGATGGTAAAACAAGCCGGGCGTAACAGCGAAAAGGTTAATGCAAATTGTAAGCGAGCTGGTTTTCTGCTCGCTTTAAAATTGGTGAACAAGAAAGGAGCTATTACGGTATATATATATATATATATTTTTTTTTTATTACACGACATATATATAAAAAAATTTAACTATAATTGTAAGATTAATTTTGGGGATTACTTTGTACGTTCTAAAATGAAATTAACGATAGAGGATAGAAAACGAAGATATTAATAATAAGACATAATGTAAAATAGTTAAGGATAAAAGAAAATAATAATATATATTTGGCTTGAAATATTGGCGTGGAATTTGACGAAAACAGTTCAATTATTTTTCAGTGTCTCTAAGAGATCTTTCACGACATTTACTTGCGTACATGTATGTATGCGATAAAGAACGCATAATTTATGTTGCCTACACGCTTTAATGTTTCGTTTGTACATGACGCAAGATCTCTCTTTCTCTTTTTCTTTCTTTCTCTCTCTCTCTCTCTCTCTCTCTCTCTCTCTCTCTCTCTCTCTCTCTCTCTCTCTCTATTTTTCTCTCTTTCTTTTTATCTTTGCATTTACATACAACGCGTCGATCGAATTAACAAACTCGCGTGCCCTTTGCGCGCCAACGAAAAAGGTTGATCTTATTGTTATTATCGTTTTAATAATTATCAGAGATACATATCTATAAACGAGATTGGATTAAGAGGAAATATCACATTTTATTTATAGAACCGTAAACATTTCTTATTTGATCAGTAACTTTTATTAATTAGTAATAAGCATATTATAAAATATATATATATATATATATATACGAGTATTTCGATCGACATAAATAAATAAGTGTCAGGCTTAATATTTCATTAAAAATTAACAATTCATTTAAAAAAAAAAATTTATTTAAAAGAAGAGATGAATAAAAAAAAAAATAAAATAAAATAAAATATTTAAATAATGGAGGATCCATTAAAATAATATTCAACAGCCGGATTAAAATGAAATCGTATTACGTGAGATTTGTATTTTCTATAAATGTATTTTCTATAAATATTTCGTATAATAATTACGATAAACAAAAGGAAAAGTATAGAAAAATAAATGAAATTAAAGTAATATTAGATTCTATTGTATTCGATATATGTATACATATCGAATACACACACACATATACACACATTATATTTCGTTCTATCATCATGGATATTTCTCGATTGCGATAGTTAAAAGTAAATGTTGTTTGGCTCGTTACTTACTTGTTAGAGAAAGTCACCGCAAGGTATGAAATCCATTTTACCGAACGATCCTGAATCGTTTTTCTTTCTTTCTTTCTTTCTTTCTTTCTTTCTCTCTCTCTCTCTCTCTCTCTCTCTCTCTCTCTCTCTCTCTCTCTATCTCTCTTTTTTTTTCTATGCATTCCTCTAAGCATTTCCAAGCGACATAGACACGTACATATATATATATATATATATACTCATATACGTACATAAATAGTTGGGTATTACGATCGATGGAATCTTCTCATAAATTGCTTGCTTCCGTATTGTCAAAGACTTCTCCTTGCGTATTTCTGCATCTTCGTTTCTAATCGGCGAAAGTTTTTCCAATTTACTCTGAAAGACCTAATATGTATATCTTTGATATGTGCGTGCGTGCACATTGATGCACGTTGATGCATTCAAGATGGATAGATCTTTCCTATTAAGGAAAGGTTAGTGTAAAACGAGCAACTTGAATGAAACGACGACGATCCTTTTGAATGTATACGTTGTGGAATTAGAAATAAGTGAAACTTCAGGGAAGAGAAGGAAAAAAGAAGGTGGGTGGGATGGTGAGAACTAGTCATTAATTAAATCCATATTCGAAACTCCTTCATATTTAATTGATATCGTCGAAGCGTCTAATTAAAGCAAATACGTATACTATATAAGAACATACAATGAAAAAATCTGTTTTTCTTTTATTTATTTATTTATTTATTTTTTTTATAATATCGAAATATTAAATAATTTTTAATCGTAATATTGATTTCGTATTTTTTTTTTTTTTTTTTTTTTTTTTTTTTTTTTTTTTTTTTATTTATTAAACACCGTCTTATAGAATAGAAGTAATATCTTTAAACTCGATATCAATGATATCGCGAGCAAACAACGGAAATTACAATCGTATAGAATTTTTAGTTGGAATTTTCAGCGATAAGGAAAAGGGCGTCGGCAAGGACGTGTTTGAATATAGTCTCTAAGTCCTGGGGTTGAGAGCATAGAACTCTCCTGCCACCTTCGCATTTGCTGCAGACGTGAGAGAGGGCAACGACCCATCGATCCTTCGGGAGAACCGACACGAGACTAGGCCAACCGGAATACTGCACTATGACCACCGGTACACGATGGACGTAATACGATGTACTTGCAATATATACATACATACGTATTAGATACATAGATATAAAATGATTAGAATTTTTTCTCTACGTTGAGAAATTATTTTCTATTTAAAATAATTTTTCTATTTAAAAATATTTTAGATAATTTATAAAAAAAAGCAACGTATTGAACACTTACAATCGAAGGTACAATAGTTTGTCTTTTTCTTTTTGATCTTTTTCTTTTTCTCTCTTTTCATTTTTTTTCTTATTTTTTTTTTTTTTTTTTTTTTTTTTCCCTTCAAGACGATGCCCACCATCGGCTTTTTCAAACACATAGTTTGACATTTGCATACATCATACGTCAACTATACGTAACGAGTAATTAATTATGTCACGAATAAACGACTTACTCACAATGTAATTATTTATTTTACGACGATAGATCTATACAAAAGTTGTCATACGATCCGTTACATCGTCGGCTATTATGATAATTAAGCGAAAGTACGAAGATGTTAACTACCTTCTTAACTGAACGATAAGTATATTTCTCTCTTTCTCTTCCTCTCTCTCTCTCTCTCTCTATATATATATATATATACACATACGTGTTGTGTTATTTTTTTCTTACGTCGCCGTTGACAATTTGCTTACAATTTTTATCGAATAGATCGTCGAATTTGACGAAATATTTCTTAATACAATTCCATTACATAACGAACGTGTAACGAAGTCACGGAGTATGGAGTAAGAGAGAGAGAGAGAGAGAGAGAGA